CCCCCCCCCTAGGAAATTAGCTAATTTCTGGCGGCTCCCTAACTACTACGATCAGTTATATGAGTTAATAATAACGATGTCTGTTTATATATTTGTAATTTAATAACAAGTGTCGTTTAAAATTTTTCTTACCAAATATTTAATTAATGGAATCTGATTATTCAACCCAATCGAATTCAAAAAAGAAACATATATCGAGGCTTAACCCGTATAAATAAAGGCAAAAAACGGAAACGTTAAGAGCAGAATATATGAATAATATTCATGAAATGTTATAGAACCTGAAAATATCAAAAAGATGCTGATTGGCGGACAAGTAAAATATTATGTATGCTATGCATCGTCTACATAGTACAAAACCCTTTCAACAATCATTTATAATTATTTATTATCTTCTTTAAAAAATATAAAAAAAAAGTACTAACACTAAATAAAATTGTAAATCCAGAACACAAAAACTATTTTTGATAATGCTAATTGCAAAATTAAAATTCAAAGACAACTATTTAGAAATCTATGATAAATGGCTAGCGTTAGCTATAATCATATGTACAACAATTATAATTATATTTTTGAAAATTCTCGGAGCTTTACTCAATCTAAAAAATATTTCTATCATGTGATATGTCGATCAACTACAATTTGGGGTTTGGCTTAAAGTTAGAGTTAGAAAGAAAGTTTCTTTTAGTAAAATTTTGGTGCTTCTTTTTTCAGTTCTTTGATGCTCTTTGGTGCCTTTTCGTTTCTTCTTTATGGCTCTTTATTGTTTCTTTGTCGTTCTTTTGGTGCTTCTTTGTCACTTTTTCGATGCTTTTTTTTGGTATTTCTATTGGTTCATCATCTTTTGTTACAGTTTGTAAACGAATAATTTTTTAATGGTAACAATAATATTATAATAATATTATAATAATAAAAGCACCATCAATCGAAATCAGTATTTCAATTATCATAACATTACGATCACTAGCTAATTAATTGAGTATGCTACTTGAGAACCCCTTAATGACATGTTTTATTACTTTAACATTTGTATCATTATTTGATCGAATTTGAAAATTTGGTAAAATTAGTAAAATCGATATTACTCTCTTTATTTCTTATATGCGCTACAAGCAATATTTGTTTATTAAAATTATAATCTAATGTCGTATTACTGTATTAAAAGCTAAAACAAATTTTTTTTTCATATTTTTTATTATCATTTGTTTTTAATATTTTTATCACAAGAAAGTAGAGATGGTAAAAAAATGGGTTAAACTGTTTTTTTTTAACTTTTTTTATTAAAGCTTTTTTAAAACATTGACGTTTGTTTTGCTGAGAAGAATTTTTTATTAGATGTGTATATTACATAAAAATAAATTTTTATTTGATGCTTTAATTTTTAAAGCTATTACATTTTTAATGTTGCTTATTGACAACATTACCATTATGTAAAATCTCATTAAATAAATTTTTGCAAATGAATTATTTGAAGAACCATAATCCTGTGTTTGAGCTTTTATAAATTATATATATTTCTTGAAAGTTTTTGTTTACACATTTGATTTTTCTAATAAAGTTGAGTTTTCGACGGGCGTAGTACATATTACTTAAAATGCTCTATGGTTTATAGATTAACGTTAATATGGTTAAACAATTTATAGCACAAACAATATTAAATTATAATTTACAGTGCCGTAGCTTGTATTATCAAAAGCTGAAACAAAAATAATTTTGTTTCTAATATTTTTATCACAGATAGTGAAAAAAAAATGGGTTAAACTGTTGTTTTAAACTTTCATTACTTAAAGAAACTATGATCGGGTTCAAAATAGACCCACTTTGGGTTCAAAGTGAACCTACCTTGGGTTCATATCATAATAAATTTAAAAGTAAATTTATTTTATATTAATTTTTCCCATGCATTGCAGGTTTACAGCTAATATATTGTTAAAGATGTTCTATTTTGACAGGCCCGTCTTGCCATATATGAGAATGCAGTGTAATAGCTACGTGCACGTTTAACGAAATCCGTGATTATATATTATCTTCATCATTGACTGATAAATTTAAAGATTCTTAAGATCTTGATTCAAATTTTAATTTGTTTACCAAAAAACCTGTCAAAAGAGCTTTTAAAAGGTGACTATTCGATTAAATCTTGAACCTCCTATTTGAGGCATTGCAATCAGTGTGCAAAATTCAATGTTCTCAATGTTCTCTGAGAACACTAATCAAATTAAGAAATAATTTATTAAAACATGTTCTCTGAGAACATTGAATATATTTTTCTTGATATTATGCAAATTTAATTTTTTCTATATAAGAACATAAAATCAGTTGAATTTTGTTATACGTCAGTTTACGATTATGTTATTTTAAAATATTGATTGTGTAGAGAAATATACAAATAAAGTAAAATTAAAATTTACCTTTAATCGTTTTTTCGTTTAATATGACTTAAATAATTTGCTAGTTTTTTTTTTTTTTATCTTAAAAAATATGAGTAATCGAAAAAATCAAAGACATATTATGAATCGTTCAAAATATAATCATTATTTAATATTTTTCTTTACAAGTATACATGAAATTCAAAGTTAAATATTGGGGTTTACTGTAAGTTGGAAATATTGAAGAGCCAAAGATTAAAGCTTAATATCATAATCGCGGTTAATAAATTTGCTTATTAAAGATTTTTACGCCATAGCTTGTCAAGCTCATCAGGATACAGAGTATGGTAACACTCGATATTATTCTACTTGGCACGATCCAAGAACAAGTGACTGAACAAGTAATAAGTAACTGCAAAACTAAGAGCTGTTCATGTTATACATTCTGCGTCAAACGTAATGAATGTATATTAGCAATAACCACTAATGTGAACTATCTAAAATTATCAACGGGTCATTGTTTTTTAATAACCATTCCCTGTTGCTATATCAAATTCGTAAGTTTGTTTAAATCCATTATTGCTCGAATAAATATTAAAATGTAAGTTATATGTTGCTTAGTTTTTATCTTTTTTTTAATAATAATCGGTATTATAATATCGATTATATTACACGTAATATATGTCAAATTATGATTCTAAAATGACTTACAGTATGTCAATTCATAATTAGCAAAGCGACGACACAAATAGAAATTGCCAATTTTGAAAATCACGGAAAATTTGGATAAATTTTTTAAAAATTTTTCCTGTTCCGGATCTTCATATATTACCCTGTATCAGGGACAAAAGTGGCACAGGATTGTCGCAGAAAAGTAGAGATTTACAGTATAAGAAAGTTAACCTAGAAGACGAGAGTGGTCGTACTAAAATTTTTGATATCCGAAATAATTCCGATAAATAAGCAATAATTTGGATTCAGAATGTTCGAGATTTCTATCTAACGCGGAATTTTGTAGAATTTGATTTTATCACGAATGGACGGAATTGGCAATTTATTACCGCAGAAAATTATCGCGATCCTTTATTAACGCGCCTTTCGGGCGGTCAATTTTATTGATAACTAACTTTTATTAAAATTATGTCTGCGCTCCTCAAACTCGAAAGTGCTATTTCTGAAGGACATATTAACTTTATCAAATACGATAAATTTATTAACCATACAAAAATTGGTGAGGGTGGATTTGGAACAGTCTTCAAATGTAAATGGGAAGGTTGTAAATTAACAGTCGCCCTCAAATGCCTTAAAGCCGCTTTAGATGAAAAGATTATTGAAGACTTCATTAATGAGGTTTTTTATTAAACTAAAACTCATCTGCTTTAATATTTAATCAAATTTCTAAAATTTATTTTTTACAAATTTTATTATAACAGCTTACATTATTACGAAAAGTGGATTCACATCCGAATATTATTACATCCCATGGTTTAACAAAAGGTATAATTATTTTTTAAATAAATACATACCAGATACTGTATATCATTAAATTTATTTAAATTATACGTACGTACGTACGTTACAAATAAATAGATAAAAAAGGAAATTATAATATGGTTTTACAATGTGCTAATGAAGGAAATTTACGAGAATACCTGGAAACACGATTTACAAGTTTACAATGGGCAGATAAATTTATGATTGCTGAAGGAATAGCACATGGCCTTTTGTTTTTGCATGAAAATAATATTATTCATAGAGACCTTGTAAGTATACTATATATTTAAAATTAAACAAATTATAATTCGTTATTAATATTTTTCATACATAGCATTCGAAGAATATTTTTAATTCATGAAGGAAAACCAAAGATCACTGATTTTGGATTATCCAAACAGACTAATGAGGCAATGAATTCAGGCTCAAATGTAGTTGGAATGCCCGCGTATATAGAACCTCAATGTTTTATTAATCCAAGATATAAGCGTAATAAGAAATCAGATATCTATAGCTTGGGTGTAATATTATGGGAAATCTCAAGTGGAATATCACCATTTCGAGAATTCAATTTGCCGATGGACCATTTCCATAAATTTATACTTGGAGGAAATAGAGAAAAACGGATTGAAGATACTCCACCTGAATATATTAAACTTTATGAAAAGTGTTGGGATAATTTGCCAGATAATCGTCCAGAAATAAAGTCGATTTTTGAGGATTTAACTCAACTTTTATCAAACGAAATTTCCACTATTCCTATGGAAATTGATGAAAAACCCCCAGACACCCCAGAGGCATTATTTCAAAAACATAAAGCTGATGCTGAGTTAGGGTCTGTCGATGGATATGTAAACACCGGTCTTTGTTATGTTAATGGAGAAGGTATTGGAAAAGATGAAAGTAAGGCGTTTGAATGTTTTAAAAAAGCTGCTGAAATGAAATGTGATCTTGCAGTATGGATAGTCGGTCATTGTTACTTAAAAGGAATAGGAGTAAATAAAAATGATGCGACAGCATTCGAATACTTTCTGAAATCAGCATTTAAGCATTTAAATCGTGGTGTATACGAAGTCGGTGTGTGCTATCTAAATGGAACCGGGGTTAAAATAAATAAACCTAAAGCGCTCGAATGGTTTAGAAAGTCCGCTGAAATGGGGTATCTTGAAGGAATATTTCGTGTTGCTGATGCTTACATAAGGGGAAGTTGGACAAAAAAAAATGATGATGAGGGATTCAAATATTATCAAAAATATTATCAAATATGTTATCAAAAATATTATCAAGAACGATGTGAAATTGATTCCGATGGTGTATGTGGTCTTGGCTTTTGTTACGACGAAGGTAAAGGAGTCGAGAAAAACTTGGAAAAGGCACTCGAATACTACGGAAAAGCCGAATCCATGGGTAGCGCTATAGCAAAAGAAATTTTAGAAAAGGATAGAGATGCTAGATCTCAGGCCTGGACCAAATTTGTTGAAAGCCGTTTCACCGATAAACATTCTACCAGTTTTCGCCGACAGTTTGCGTTATTGAATGTTAACTAATCTTAATTGTCACCAAAATTGTTTTTTTGTATTAATCGCTAAATTTGGTTTATATTAGTTTCTACCTTTGGCCACTGTATACAGTACGAGGTCTTATTCAAGAACTCTATTTTTAAAATTGAATATTACCCGTGGATACTGTGTGAAGAACCGGGTACTATATTTGGGATATATCATAATAAAGTAGGTCTTATGGTGAATAATACCCAGGTTTTAATCATGAGGATATTATTTTGGGGGATACAGTGGTCAACGGTAAATTGATTTTTTTTTTTTTTATATTCCAATAAATAATAATAATAATAATAGGGAATTGATATTTCCACACCCTATTTTGATAATGCCACACCCCTGTAGATCATTTCAATTTTTTTAAATTTTTTT